TACCTTGGTTTTAAGGCCTACTTCACTGCTCCTCGAAAAGGCACTGTCTGGGTGAGCTCCCTCTCTTCTACAGTCTTCATTACACAGGCAAATGGTTCATTTTTCACTAGAGGTGCTCAGGGAGAGGTAGTAGTTTTGGGTGGAAGGAGAAGATAAGTATGTGGTAGCTGTATCAGGGAAATGGAAGATGATGATCATTTTTGTTTGTGTCTCTTTCCCTCAGACTGTGCAGTCCTTACCAGTTCACAGAACTGAATGAATATAAGAGTGAATGAATGAAATCTGTCTCTTCCTATTAGAGTCTTTCAGGATCTGACTGGCTTGGGACAATAGCCGCAGGAGATATATCTGGGGAGCTCATTGCAGCTATATTGCCTGATATGGCACTGAACCCAATAAACGTCAAGCGACCTGTAGAGCGAAGATTCGTACGTATATGAACGTCTAACAGCAGCACCATCTGTTGGATCCTAATCCACATGCCCTTCCAGCTCCTGGTAGAGTACAAATTAGTGCTAGGTCTCCCACCCCTGATATTATCCCTGAGAATCTTAGCACAGAGTTGTATTTAATCTTCCCTTCCCTATTGCATCTGAGCATATATTTAAACATAGTACTTTCTTCCATCTTTAAGTGTTTCCTGTCCCAAATCAGTTTCCTCTCTCTTTGCTTTTATTCTGTCTTCAGTAGTATAGAGCTTAATTTCATGGTCTCCTTTTAGCCTATATATAAAGCAGATCTGATGCCATATCAGGATAGTCCTGAAGGTCAAGACCACTCTTCTGCTTCATCTGGGGCCCCCAACCCTCCCAAGGCTCGAACTTATGCTGAAACTGTCAGCCATCACTACTTGCTCTTTCAAGACACAGATTTGGTAAGTTGAAGCCAGGCATGGTGTTAGAAAAGGTAGCAAATTTGAGTCCTTGCTTAGTAAGGCATCCTAAGGAGTTCCAGAACAAAGATGCAAAACTAAGGGACCACTCACTTTCTCTCTCCTATTCCACTTCCTTTCCCCAGGGTTCATTCCACGATCTGCTCCATAGAGAACCAATGCTACGCATGCAGGAGGGAGAGGGGCACACCCAGCTCTGTCTGGACAGGCTGCAGCTTGAGGCTATTCATAAGGCAAGAATCTTCTCTCTTCTTCACCTTCCATTCTCATTTTCTTCCAACTCTGGGCCTGTGACCAATGAATTAGGAGATGAAAAGGTAACACAGATGGCTAAGAAGGGAAAGCGGCTCTGGCATGCTCCTCCAGAGCATGACAGACATGCCTCATTCACTGGCTTCTCATTCCTACTTCTTTCACCCCATCATGGTCCTATCCTTTCAGATTGTGACCCATGTTTTTGCTCATACAGCTAGGAGTTGCCCTAAAGCACCACCCATGAGCATCTCTCTTTTGTTTTCTGTTCTCTTCACAGGTACGTTTCAGCCCAAACCTGGACTCCTATGGATGGCTGGTATCTGGGGGGCAGTCAGGGCTCGTTCGGATCCATTTTGTTCGTGGACTCACCTCCCCACTGGGCCACCGTATGCAGCTTGAAAGCCGAGCCCACTTCAGTGCTATGTTCCAATCATCCCTCCCCTCTAGAGGGCCTGGTTTCCCTCCCACCAGCCATCGCCTTCTGCCCAGTCCCTAGCCTTTGTCCACACAGGACCCTTGGAATGAAGTCTGCCAAGAACACATGGCCCTCAATGCACAGAGCCATAGGAACTGGGGCTTTCTGGACAGTGATGCTGCCAGGCATTGACCTTTAGGCCTGCCTCCTTAGATCCCTCTTCTTCCACAGACTTCTTTGATCATAGCCCCCTGCGGGCAGGGGGGCTCTCCCTCCACAAACTCTCAAGGCTCCTCAGCCTAAAACTATGGCTCACAAGAAACACTCAGGCCTGACCTAGGCTTGGGAGTCAATTTGCTCATATTGAGCATATTGTGAAGTGGGTAAAGCTAAGTAAAGGTACTGGGTGTTTTTGAGACCACTTGTGAGTGGGTGTTTGGAGAACTGGGAAGGGTATCTGCATGAACGCTCCTCTCTGACTATATTCCAGGATCCAATGTTACTGCCTTCCCAAACTTCCTCTTTAGAGTAACCAACACACAGGCCCAAGAGGAGTGATAGTAATTTGTTGGACTGAAGCTGCTTATAGTACTTCTTTAGCTGAGGAACACCACAAACACCCTACCAATAGAACAGTGACTCAGATCTTACTTGCTCCTGCTTATGAAATATTCCCAATCATTGGTCATTTGACCCTACTTGAACCCTCCTAGACAGCTGTTTTAAAAATTCTTCCTTTATATCAAGTCAAAGAGTGTATCTCCATAAATTTTACTCATGGGTGATAGGAAATCTACTCATTCTTCCCTGTGATTGCCCTTTTAAGTATTTAACAATAGCTATCATGTATTTCCCCAGTCTTTTCTTCTCTAGATTAAATATCTTCAGTTACTTCAACCATTCTTTTACATGTTATGATTTTTGATCCTTCATGATACTATCACATTGTTGATTTATAAAACATGTTTAGTTACTCTATTTAAACTATGTATAGGAGGTGTTTAGAACCCAAATACAGTAAATATATTGTTATATCTCATCTTCTTAGAGCCCTCTTGTGGGATGCTGCAGACTTCACAGTGGCTACAACACTGCCTCCTAAGCAAGGACAGACCCCAGCAATGAGAAACAGGCAAACCATAGTCTTGGAACGCATAGCAGTACAGGCTGGGGTTTGGAGGGAAGTAGTCAGATGACCCCAGGAAGAAGAAGAAAAAAAAAAAAAAAAGGCAGCCAGCTCCTATTGGAAGAAGTGGAGATTTAGTGTCTACCTGCAACAAAACCCTCTGGCACCCTAGGCTGATGGGCCAAATATCTGGGAACAACTTTCTGTCTTTCTAGTATAGGGAATTTATCATATATCAGAAAATCTCCTTTAAGAAGAAGGGAAACAAGTAGTTCAATCCCCTTCTCATACAGAAGAGGAAAGAAACCTGGAGAAAACCCAAGTTCATTAGTGACAGAGGGACCATGACATACATCAATACAAAGGAGCCAAATGTTGTGCCACCCTATTGTGATCCAGCTCAGGTTATGCCAGTTTTTTAAACTAACCGTGCCTTCCATTGCAGAAAAGCTTTGCTCATTCTACACAGCAGCCCCTTGATACTGCACAGGAGCCCCCTTTCTACTTTCAGTCGTAGAAAAGAAGGGACCTGGGGACTCTTTAACTGTTGAAGCTGTAGGTTGGTGCTGGCAGCCCTGCTCTTGCTGCCATCCCTAGACTCATCCCTAGTCTCAACTTCCAAAACAAAATCAGGATGATGCTTTCATCAGCTCTTGCTCTTTTTCTCTACCAGAAACCTTTTTCTCCACCAGAAAACTTTTTCTCCTGTCACTCCCCTTCCAACCCTCCTTCCCAACAGATACACTTTATACTTTCCATTAGTTCTTGCACTTTTCTACTTTTGTGCCTTTCTCACACTGTTCCCTTCTCCAGGAATATCTTTTCCCACCATCTCCACCTAAATCCTATTCATCCTTCAAGATCCCGGCACAAATTCCACCCTCACCAAGGAGCTTTCCAGGTTTGTCCAATGAAAAATATTCTCCCATGTGTTCCCAAGGAGGAAAAAGAAGATAACAAGTATTAAAACACTTGATCTATTTCAGGTACTTTGCGTATATTACTTAATCCTATGAGGTAGGTATTTCTGTTTTACTTATTGATAAAGATCAGGATTTTGAGAGGTTAAGCAGTCTGAACAAGGTCACAAACTACTAAGTGGCGGTGCTGGGATTTGAACTTATGCAGTCTGACTTTAGAATACAACTTTCCAACCTACCACATTCAGTACATTACATTTAGTAGTGTAAATTCACTCCTCTAGTATAATGTTTTGCGTATAGAAGCTTTTTAGTTAAATGTGTGATACTGAATTCTCTTGCGTCCTTACTCTGTTTCTCCAGTATTTGTGACAGGATTCTCTTTGCCTTAATCATAGAGGAACTGAGTAAACGGGCTGGAGCTAGGTAGGTGGAGAGCCAGAAAAAGTCTGTGTCCTGAAGTTTGTGCTCCCTGGAGATACGCAAAGGCTGCCAGCCTGACAGACGCACCACCAGGGATATTGTAGAGATGTCCACCACCCTAGAAAGGATATTGAACTATGTTCACAGAATCTTAGAATGTTAGAGCTGGAAGGAGATTAAGAAATCACCTACTTTACTTGGTTTCAAACACTTAGTTGCGGGCTCCTTTGTTAAAAAAAAAAAATACTATAAGTATATATTTTTAAAAAAACAGTTGAAGAGAGAAGAACCTGTAGTGATACTCTGCTTCCCACACCAACCCCTACACAAACACCTCATAAACCTCTAAAACCGAGGAGCCCAGTTTCAAAAAAAGTGCAAACCCCTCGTTTTACAGATGAGAAAACTTAAGTTCAAGTCTAGTTTGACCAGAGCTGCACAGCCGTTTAGTTATGGAGTCAGTACCTAAACTCTTCTGAGCTCCTGTAATTCTACTGCTTTCTGTGGAGGAGTCTATGCAGCGTTTGTGCAGGGGCTTTGTGGGCAAAGCACTGCACTAGTTATGAGGGGACAGATAGGAACAAGATCCAGTCCCACCCACTCAGAAGCTCACAACACGCACGCACTTAACTATCTCTTTTAGTTTCCCAACTATGATTCTTGAGCCCGAGAAGGACAAGACCTTGACAGTTCTGAAGAGGGCTGGGTGGGCGGGAACAGTGCAGGTCTGTCCGGCTTGAGAGGCCTGGGCCTCGGGGAGAGAAGGAGCGGACGGAGGCAGAGGTCGGGCTCAGGTGGAAACGGCTGGCAGGTCCCACGCCCAGGCCCGGCGCAGTCCACTTGGAAAAGGGGTTGCTCACAGTGGGTGACTGGGCTGAGCCCCTCTCCACGCCAGTAAGGGACTCAGTCGCCTCCCACTCCTGCCCTCGCTGCAAGGCTTCCAAGGACCCCGGGCGGGCGGGGCGGGGCTTGCGGCGGAAGTTCCTGGGCCAGCTCGGGTCACGTGGGAGCGGCTGCACGGCTCGGAGCTCGAGCTCAGGTGAGCGCCAGGTGATCGGCAGTCACTGGCTGAAGACGCCGCGCATGGCGAACGCCCTCAGGGCGTGTTGGGCCGTTTCCGGTGTGGGGTTGGACTCAGGAAGGATGCAGACTGTTTCACATAGTCTGAATTTGGAGAAAGACCAGGCTCACTCTTCGGGGACCAGGCTGTGGGTGGAGGCCAGAACAAACCTGTCCTCATGAGTGTTGTCTGGTTGGGACCGGAGGCCCCCCAGGTGGCCCTGCTTCAAGGACTTGGGTGGGGTGGCGGGTGGCTGCCACGGGGAGCCCGTAGCTACTTACAGCCTTTCTTTCTCCCCTAGTTGTCTAAGGCGACCCCCGTGACAGGAAGCATCCCTCCTGGGGCCTCTACCCCTTTAAGACATATTGGAAGAGGGATGAGGGAGTGGACACAAGGACATGTCAGGGGCCTGTCTCTTTAATTGTGGGATGGGCAACGGGGTGACCACCCTCTCCTCTTGGCTTGACAGGAAGTATGGCACTCTGGCGGGCATATCAACGGGCCCTGGCTGCTCACCCGTGGAAAGTACAGGTCCTGACGGCTGGTGAGTGTCCCTCCGGGACCTGAGTAGGACCAGAGCAGGCTGATTTGGAAGGCAGAGGCTCACCCACTGCACCTTCCTCATTTCCTACTTCTATTCAGCCCCCTTGAAGGGTTGGCTGTCTCTCATCCAAAGCTGTCCCCAGTCTGTTTTGGAGGGTGGGTCCCCAAGGCTGTTCTTAAGGGGTGCGCATAGTTAGACTAGGTGTGAAGTAGGATTTGAAAGTCCTCAAAAAGCTGAGCTGGGCTGGCCAGTTAGCTCAGTTTGTTAGAGCGTGGTGGTGATAATCCCAAGGTACAGGGTTTGATCCCTGTACGTGCCAGCTGCCAAAACAAAAAAATGCTGAGCAGTCAGCCCTTAAGGATAAAGAAGTCCCCAACTTGGAAAATTAACGAATAACAAACACTACTCAAACGTTTTACAGTATGCAAAGCACTTTCATATGCATTATGTTGTAGGGGCTCCACAAAGGTCTGCGAGCAAGGATTACTTGAGTCCACATTAGATCACACATCTAACTACTGAAATCAAGACTCTTACCCCAGTTTATTTTTTGTAGTATTTTTATTGTAAAATATACAAAAAAATGACACGTATGTACAGTTTAAATAGTATTAAAACCAAACACTCTTGTATCAGTACCTAACTTTGAGATACCTTGAGCACTCTCCCTAATTCACAAGCCCCAAGAGATTACAGCTTTCCTGATTTTGTTTATTCTTTTGCTTTTCTTATAGTTTACTACCTATGTATGTATCCCCAAACAACATGTTGACCAAGGTTTTTTTTATTCCAAATCCAGTGATTGAGTAGCAACCCTGCCAAGGTAACTGAGTGACTTACCTGCATTTGTTACCATCTTCATTTTTCAGGTTAGCTAATGTAAGGGGATAGCATGGAGATGAGTATGTTTTTTTTTTTTTAATTTAAAGGTGACGGGTAAGGGGATCTTAACCCTTGACTTGGTGTTTCAGCACCACGCTCAGCCAGTGAGCAAACCGGCCATCCCTATATGGGATCCGAACCCGTGGCCTTGGTGTTATCAGCACCACACTCTCCCGAGTGAGCCACAGTCTGGCCCCTGTTTTATAGGAGGAAGGATCAGAAGGCATCTGATCATTCGGGCAGTACAAAGGGTGATCAGGGTAAGATGGGGTCTTTACGTTTAGAGGAAGGGAACAGGATTCCAATGAAGACTGTGGCCTTCCGAGAAGACTGTTGGAAGGGGTGGAAGGCTACTGAAAGCCAGAATGGAATATTCCTGTTATTGGAATAACCCTACATCAGCACTAGAACTGCACTGCATGACCCTCCAGGAGATGGATTCTTTTGCCCTTCCCTGGGCCCCTCTTCAGCCTCCTTTGCCCAACCACCTCTTGTCCTGTCCTCAAAGTGTCCGTCAGCCTGCATGACTCACCTGACTGCGTGTGTGGTGACTCATGCTGGACTGTGTGGCTATGATGGGAACTGACACGCTGGGCCTTTTGCCCAGTCTCAGATTCCCATGGGGCCATAATTGCCAGATGGAAGGTTCCCCCTCATGGCCATCAAGAATAGGGAAGGAAGGATAGTCCTCAAGTTTCCCTACCCAAGGGATCTGCAGCTGACAAGGACAGAAGCTAGAGTTCCAAGGAGATCCAAGTGCAGATACATGGCTGAACTGGGGGTTCTGGTCTGTCAGTGCTAGAGCCCTTTGGCTGCACACCCTCAGTCATCCTGAGGCTGTGCTGACATTGCAGCTTAGCCCTGAAGCAACCTGTATACCCATAGCACTTTTCTCAGATTTTTTGAATTCTTTCAGACTTTTCGTTCCCTGCTGCTCAGTGTATTTGGATAAAATTCCAAGTAAAGGGAGGAAGGGAGGAAATGGATTTAGCTACCTGAGCCATTTCTGGACCCCAATACAGTAGTTCCTCAGGTCCCATGGGATAGCTCATCACACTGGAAGACAGAACAGAGATTTCAGACTTGGAGTTAGAAGACCAAGATTTGAATCTCGGAGCCATAGCACTTAGTAGCTGCATCAATCAGGACAAGTCAATAAACCTCTTTGGGCCTCAGTTTCCTCATTTAGAAATTGAGTTTAGTTATATGACCTCACAGCGTCAGTATAGGGATTATCTCTGTGAAAAGGCTTTGGAAATCAGAAGTGTTCAATAAGCTTAAAGGCTCAAGGGGCTGGCCTTTTCTGTGATTATTGGCATCTCAGGCATAACAAGCTATTCTTTTTATAGTGGTGTTTGGGTTGGGTTTGTTCCACTTAAATCTGAACATGGATAACTATCTTAGCCTTGGTTCTCTGAAAAGCAGAGCTGGAAGCTTATGTGCAGGTATTTTGTTAGGGAGTAGGAGGTGATCCCATGGAGTGAAAGGAGGAGAGCCAGCATAAGGGTACATTATCAAGTTGGCCACTGCTAAGGGAAATTGGTTGCTCAATCCCTTGGAACTGACTTGAGAAGCTCTTTGGAATGCTTCTTAAGACTGTCTGGATGAATAGTCATTTCTCGAGAAAAGAAGAGATCTTTATCTACTAGCTCCCATCCCATATTGGTCAGAAGTTCACCCTGTGGGAAGTTAACTCCCCTCTGCCATCAGGTTGCACATGCAGAGTCACTGAAGGCATTGACAGTGAAGCCCCAGGTATGGCATAGGCCTGAAGCTAGAACCTATCAGGTTGAACTGCAGTAATGGCTGGAGTGAGAGATGGGTGAATCAAGATAATCTGAAATGGTTCAAAAGAAGTATCTCATACACCAGTTTTGGCCAACACAGAGTTGGGAACAGGGCAGCCTGGGGAAAGGTTTGCTGTGTGTTCTGCACAGAGTGTGAGTCAGCCTTGTCCCTTCCTTTCTGGAGTATACACCAGTTTTGGCCAACACAGAGTTGGGAACAGGGCAGCCTGAGGAAAGGTTTGCTGTGTGTTCTGCACAGAGTGTGAGTCAGCCTTGTCCCTTCCTTTCTGGAGGCCCCTTCCAGTTTCCAGTGGGTCCAGGGCCCAGCTCTATCTTAGGCCACCCTTTCCTGCTGTGGGAGCAACTGAGCTCTTACAGACACTGGTTTCCCTGAAGTCAGAATTAAACCAGGATAAGAGAGCTCAATAGGCTGTAGTGACCATCAAGTCTAGCCCCTGATACTACAGAGGATGAAACTGAGGCAAGAGGGGTGAGTGACATATATTGAGGTCTCACATAGTCAATGGTAGAACTGGTGTTAAAACCTAGGACACTGCCCACTGCACGCCCTATACTAGAAACTATTGGGGCTTCAGAATGCTGAGCACGGCCCCAGCTGACCTGGGCTTGGAGACCTGACAAGCTGCAGAGACCTGACAAGCTGTCTCATTGTCTAGCAGTAGGATGGGTTCAGGCCAGGAATGGGGAGAGTATTCAAACCAATCCCAGAGGATACATTCTCCCCTCTCACTGCTGGGCTTCAGCTCCTTCTGGGCTCTGTGTTAGACCAAGCCCTTTTAGCCCAGAAGGCTAGTTGGAGACTTCTGGGGGAGGAACGAGTCAACAGCACTGCTGGCCCCATGCCAGTAGCTATACCTGCTGACCCAGGCCTCCTGTACTCAAGGATATGCTTCCTGTTCCTCATTCCAAGAAGCCAATTCCTGCCCATCTCCCTCCTCATCTTCCATTAACACTTTATTTTCTTGCACATAAGATTCCACACAAAAGCCAGTAGAGAAACAAAATAGGGGAAGTAGGGAATTTACCCCCACCCATGCCTGGGAAGAGGTTGTGGAAGTTGGGGCTTTTCCACTAGTTGGCAAGGGGTGGCCCCAAATAGATCTGTGCTCAGAGGCAGTCTCCCTTACCCCTAAGCCCTGGATCTGGTGGGGAGTGATGGCATAAGAACTGGCACCTACCCAGGGGCATGATGTCATACCTGCGCCAGCATCTGCTTGCTGGGCTCTGCGCCCAGCCTGGCATTGGGGCATCATTACCCAGCAGCCCCTTGCCCTGCCCCATCAGGGCTCTGGGTATTATCTGTCCACAGGCCTCCAGACCCAACTCCCTGGAAACAAGTCCAAGGAGAGGGGAGCCAGAGCACTGGAAGATCCAGACCAACTAGATATGTCTAGGAGATCTCCCAGAGGCTGGGGTGGTTTGGTTCTGTTCGGGCTATGGGTTGGTGAAGGTGGGATGAGGAATCTGAATGTCTAAACCCTTCCTGCTCAAAGATCACTTGGGCCAGAAATGCAGTCCTTGCTCTATGTTTGGATCAAATCCTTAGACCACCCTGTGGTAGCTGCAGGCCTAGAGAGCCTGATCATCCAAGGGCAGAAGAGGAACCTCTGGGTACTGGTGTGTCTGAAATGAACAGAACTGGCAGGGGCTACAGAGCTACACACCACCCACTCACTCATGCTTCCCTATCACTTGCTAGTCCCTCGGGCTTGATGGGCACAGTTTGGAGGCCTACAATCCATCTTTCTCAAAGGCTGCATGCAGGCTTCCAGGACCATGGGGCTGGAAGTCAGGGACTTGTGTTTTCATTCCAGCTCTGCCTTTAGCTTGTTGTTTGACTATTGGCAAATCATGAAGAGTGAAAACACACACCTCTCTATTTCTTTCCCAGGAATATTGCTGCCTGCCCTCCCCACAGGTGACAAGGAACTGAGGTGATGGACTTCTGGGGAGTAAAGACAGAGAGAAAGTGCATTAGTCCAGGAAGTGTCTTTGATATATGTGGGCCCTTTGGGGCCTTACTTGGGCAGGAACCCCTGCAGAGGAGCAGCCACAGCAGCCCCTTGGTGCCCACTGACCTGTGAGCCTATGCCAGAAATACCCTGGCCTCTTTGTTCTTCCTCTTAAGGAGAAGAGTTTCTGTCCCAACTCCACTCCTTACCAAGTCACCTCATCTCTCAAAGCCTCTTTCCTTATCATTAGATGGACATGCAACCACCCACCTCCTATACCTTTTGAGAGGATTAAATGTGGGAGAGCCCTTTGTGAACTGGAAAGATCTTACTAAAGTAGACTGTCAGACTGTTAATCCCTCATTTAAGTGACTGCCCTTTCTGTTCCACCATCCCCTGGCCTTCTCAGGGTCACTCTTCCCGTTATGCATGGCTGCAGCTCCTCCCTGTCCTCCCTGGAAGTGCAGCTGGTAACCCCACATTGTGAAGGAAGGGGATAGGAAAATAACTAACTGCTTTGGGCTAGGGGAGCAAGCCTCCAGTTCCCCAGGTCCTTACACCTTGAGCCTGATGCTTGGTCCTCTGGGCTAGACTTAGAATTCTTCATGCCCTTTTCCAGAGCAGGCCTATTGTTTGGGATGGTACATTTGACCTTTTTCCTTTATTTCTGAGCACCTGCCAGGGGCTTGATTAGGTCTGGTGGGGCATAGAATAACAAAGTATTCAATCCTTGCCTTTGGGACGTCATGTCTAGCAGTTCTCTGGGAAGAGCCCCACCACTTTGGGAGTTTGAGGGAGAGGCAAGTCAGGGCTCCCTTGATGGGTGTGCTGGTGGTGTCCAGATCTGCTCCATGGTGAGCAGCCCAGGTATCCTTGCCTTTGGGACGTCATGTCTAGCAGTTCTCTGGGAAGAGCCCCACCACTTTGGGAGTTTGAGGGAGAGGCAAGGCAGGGCTCCCTTGATGGGTGTGCTGGTGGTGTCCAGATCTGCTCCATGGTGAGCAGCCCAGGTGACCTATGGGTACTCAGCCACAGCCCTAGCTCCCTGCCTTCCCCCACTGCTTCTGACTAGGGCATGGAGGAAGAGCAGAGCAGTGAGTGTGCAGCCAGAACGGACGTCAGAGCCAGCTCCAGGCCAAGGAATGGGGTGAAAGATGTGTTTGCCCAGTGCTAATTGAGGGCATAGGGACGGTGGTGGCTCCAGGGCTGGAGGGGGCTGTCTTTACTCAGTGAGATAGACAGGCGAGCTGGAGATCATATGGTCACTCCCAAGTGGCCCTATAAGTGTGTGTTTGCTAGAAACCATTATGCCACCATGACTGACTGGGGGCTGTGAAAATAGTGATGATTTCTGTCTTGGTTTCTGGGTGTGGGTGTCCGACGGGAGCTGCTTAGAGCTGGGTGTCGGTGCAATTGGGGGAGGGGAAGTAGGTGCAGAGGCCTGGGGATAAATGACTATAATACCTATTGCCCACTCAATCTGAGCTTGTGAATGGGCAGCCTGGTTTTAGCTGATTGTTCTACCCGGTGGCCAGGACTCTTCCTTGTGGGGACTCCTACCAGCTCAACCAGTCATCTTCCTGCCTTGGACCATTTGAGCATTCATGTTTTAGAAAAAGAGTTATTCTTGCTGTTCTTCACAAATAGAGACCCCAAGACCATGATAAAGGACATTGGCTAAGGTCTTGCATTGGACTGGAGGGAAAAGAAGCAGGGTTCCTAATCGTTTCACATATGCTCTACTCAGAGCACGGTGTCCTGGAAAGAAGAGAGTCTAGGAATCAAGCCACCTGGTTCTTGCCTTGGCGCTGGACTTACTGGTTGTGTGAGATTCTGAATCTTTATTTCCAGACTTCTGAAAAAAGGGGTTTGGATGAAATTGTCCGGAAAGCCCTTTCTTTTTTTTTTTTTAATTAAATTTTATTTTATCAATATACAATGTGGTTGATTTTTGTGGCCCATTACCGAAAGGAAGGCCCTTTCAATTCTGACAGTCTATGGCTCTCAGCCCCAGGATATATGATTTTCCTTCTTTTGTCTGCATCTTCTTTTTTTTTTTTTAAAAAAAGATGACCGGTAAGGGGATCTCAACCCTTGGCTTGGTGTTGTCAGCACCACGCTCAGCCAGTGAGCAAACCGGCCATCCCTATATAGGATCCGAACCCATGGCCTTGGTGTTATCAGCACCGCGGGGATCTCAACCCTTGGCTTGGTGTTGTCAGCACCACGCTCAGCCAGTGAGCAAACCGGCCATCCCTATATAGGATCCGAACCCATGGCCTTGGTGTTATCAGCACCGCGGGGATCTCAACCCTTGGCTTGGTGTTGTCAGCACCACGCTCAGCCAGTGAGCAAACCGGCCATCCCTATATAGGATCCGAACCCATGGCCTTGGTGTTATCAGCACCGCGGGGATCTCAACCCTTGGCTTGGTGTTGTCAGCACCACGCTCAGCCAGTGAGCAAACCGGCCATCCCTATATAGGATCCGAACCCATGGCCTTGGTGTTATCAGCACCGCACTCTACCGAGTGAGCCACGGGCCAGCCTTGTCTGCATCTTCTGACTCTTGAGTTTCCTTTACTGCTCAATGCAGAGTTCTTGGGCCCTGGCCTGCTCATCCCAGTTTCTGACATCGTTAGGGAAAGGAGGGCTTTAAGGCAGCAGGAAGGAGCTAGTCATTTGCCCCCAGAGTGAAGCCCTGGGGCTCAGAGTGCCAGAGCCTCATTTGGTCAGTAGACTTACCTCCCTCCTTGGAATGGCAGCTCACCCCCAGGAGACATCTGACAGCACCTGTGTCCCTTGCACAGGGTCGCTGATGGGCCTGGGTGACATTATCTCACAGCAGCTGGTGGAGAGGCGGGGTCTGCAGGAACACCGAATGGGCCGGACCCTGACCATGGTATCCCTGGGCTGTGGCTTTGTGGTAAGTTCTGTCCACAGCAGAGCTTCAGTGGATTGGATAGTGGTCTTAGTTCTCTGCAATCCTTTAGTTCCCATGGATTCTCACACCTAAGCCAACCTGCCACCCTCTTTGTGTTTTACGGTCTGCTTTCCCTGGGATTTGTTTTCTGATACTTGGGGGAGGAGCTTTGTGATGTAAAAGCCAAGTGTTCTGCTCATCACATCCTGCTCCCCTATGTGGGGTTTACTTTCAGGGCCCTGTACTAGGAGGCTGGTATAGAGTTTTGGACCGGTTCATTCCTGGCACCACCAAGATGGATGCACTGAAGAAGATGTTGTTGGATCAGGTGAGCAGAAGGAAAAAGATGGGAAGGGTGAGCTGTGTTGGGGGCAGATGGGGATTTAGGCATTCACAGAGCTTTAATTTTTCTTCCCTAGGGGGGCTTCGCACCATGTTTCCTAGGCTGCTTCCTCCCACTGGTAGGGACACTCAATGGACTTTCAGCCCAGGACAATTGGGCCAAACTACAGCGGGTGAGCTGGGCAAATGTGGGCAGCATCTCTGGCTGGCAGGCTGGCAGTTCCAGGGGATGGAAGCAGGCTTCATGGGGATGAGAAAGGTGGAAGTGCAGGCAGAGTCGCAGCCCATGGAGAGGAGCTCAGGAGAGTGTGGTGCAGGAGTGTGCAGAGCTCTGTGTGATATTCACACTGGGAGGTGGGTGGCTTGGAGATGCAAGTGTTAATTTCTTCCTTCTCTGTCTCCTCAGGATTATCCTGATGCCCTCATCACCAACTACTATGTAAGAACTGACACCTCAACTGCCTGTTCTGCTTTCCTGAGTCCAGAAATACCCTGGGATTGGGGTCCTCCTGACATAGGAATCCCTCCGTTGAGATTACTCTCTCATTCCCAGTGTGGGCACCATACTCAGGGAAGCACTCATCCAGTTGTTCATTTTTTTCTTGAGTGCAGAAGTTGGGGTAGGGCCAGGCAAGGTAGTGAGTCTGGGGGACGGGTGAAGGAGTTAACCACCAACTTTCACCTTCTCTCTCTCGTAGCTCTGGCCTCCTGTGCAGTTAGCCAACTTCTACCTGGTCCCCCTTCATTACAGGTATGGCAGATCCCTACTCCACCCTTCAAGGAAGATCCAGGTTACCAAGAGTTGTAGACAAAATGATTCTCATTTCAGCCTTAAGCTACTTTACACCCCCAACTGAACACTCTGCCCTGATCAGAGCTCCCTAGACTCCCAAGCATTTTATACAGAACCTCTTACTCTTTATGAAATTGTCCCAGAGTGTCCACCTACTGACCTTCTTTCATCTCCCTAGGGAGGATCCTGCTTCCACAACCCTTGTCTCCACCCCACCTGAGCTCTCCACCTCTGATGGCATATCTGCAGGACAGTGCCTGGGGTGCTGCAGCCTAGGTTAGACAGAGAGGTAGACCAAAAAGCCAAGTAGGAAGCTGGTCAGGTTAGTTCACTGCAAAGTACTATTTCACCCTAACAGTAATGGTAGTTGCTGAACCACAATAAAAAAAATAATGGAACTCAAGGTGAATAGTTAAAATGCTTGGAGGTGAGGGGTCTTGGGAACAGGGAAAAATATGAAATTCTTCAGAAGGGACATGATCAAAATTTACATGAGTAATATAGATAAAAGGAATACAGATTTATAAACCAAACCCTAAACATTAGGATTCTTTGTAACACTCTTTGAAACTAGAGCAAGTTAATTTAAAATAAAGAAAAGGAGGTGCTACTTTACACAACAGGCAGTACATTTTTGGAAGATGAAATCTCCTCCCCTGGTACAACACAGATACATGTATTTAGAAGGGGTCTGGACAGGGTGTGAATAACAGAGCTGTGCATGGCAAGAGAGCTGCTGAGGGAGTTCTCATCCAGGAGACAGAGCTCTGGGATAGCACCAGAACTTGAGCTGGTTGTCCTCTGGTCTGAGATACACAGTCTCTTCACAAGGGGCTGAAGGATTATCTCTGAAAGCTCTCAGAGATAATCCCTCCTTCCCATTGCACTTTCCCATCCCTACCGCCTCGCTTACTGCTCATTCTTCCTCTTCTTCACAATGCTATTGCTGTTCCTTAGGTTGGCTGTTGTCCAGTGTGTTGCTGTTATCTGGAATGCCTACCTGTCCTGGAAGGCACATCATCTGTAAACCTGCCTCACTCCACTGTTTCCACCTTGCAGTGGTGCAGCGTGACCTTGGAATGGTCAGACAACCTCCTCAAAGTGGGCACATCAGCTTCCATGGGGCTGCATTGTCGATCAGAACTTAATGGGATTCTTGCTTTGAAATGCACCATTTCACTACTCTGAAATGTGAAATGGCCACTTTTGAAACTACTAAAGCCTTTATAATGGTCTTATTCCCACCACATACTAGGCATTCCATAAATATTTGTTGAACCATATGACCTTGTCAACTTTACACCCACACCCCAGCAAATAAATGCCACTTCCCCACTCTTTATAGACATATCTGTTACTCTGACCCTTCCCAGCCTTGTGTAGCTCCAGCTCTTTGGGGACCCGTCAAACTCTGTATGGTGCCTCAGTAAATACAAGGATACTTCAAAAAGTTCGTGGAAAATAGAATTAAAAGATAATATAAATGTTTCCATGAACTTTCTGAATACCCTTGTATATTATTAAATTTGTAATCTGGAACTTGCAGAGTTAATGAGTAAAACCCAGCAGAAAACTATTGGGAAGTCAAAATTTCAACAGCTGGAAAGAAAGCTAGGACCACCAAACTCAAACTTCTTTTACAAATGAGGACACTGAGGTCCATGGAAGTGAGGTGACCTGTCCACAGCAGGATTTAGTGGCAGAGTAGAAACTTAAGCCCAAATTTCCTTACTTCCTACCCAGTGATCTTAACCTAAAGGTCAGAGGCATAGTAATACTCCTGCTGTGACTCCCAGGAGAAAAATTGAACTTTGTTAAACTACTACTTTGGGCAAACTTGGAAACAGATGGACCAGCCTTTTGTGGTCTGAAAGCACCCTGTGTCAAGAGACTCTCTTTTATATGTTTTATATGACCCTCAGTTAGAGACAGCCCTAGAATTTAGATACTGGGGCTGAAGTAAGGTCAAGAATCCTGGGAGACTTTAGTGGCAGACTGCCTCTCGGCGGGTCCCATAGTGTTAGCCAAGTGCCAGCAGTGCGCTCCTGATTGCCGCAGTTTGTGGAATTGACAGCCGGGGCTAGGGAGTGGGTTGGAGCAGCAGAGGGTTCTCCCAGTGCCTCTGGCCCTGAGGACAGAGCTAGCACCACGGACAGCTCCGCGGCTCCGCCTCCCTTTCGTGTGCCAGAGATGAGACCCCGGACTAGTCTGTTCTGGCGACCGGCCCTAGTCACTGCTGGCTATTCTAAGCGGGGCGAACGACTCTTGTGGGTCCCAGAGCATCCTTTACGCCCCACCAGCTTCTGGCTCTCCTGAGTCCAGTTCTACTTCCAGCGCTAGCCCCAGGGACGCGAAGTCTGCTGTCTGGAGGTGCGTCCCTCTGGGGGCTCGCAACCCGCCAGCCTCGAAGTTGAGGCTGTCACTGCTTCCACGACCAGTGCATGTTCTTCGCTGACGTCAGTCGGAGCTGTCTTGGCGCTATATAAGGCTGGCGGCGGTCCCGGGACAGACCCCGTGTTCCCCAAGGCGCATTCGGCCCGCCCCAAGGGACAGAGACTGGAGCTCCGTCTCGCACCGTGCAAACGCTCTCGGACAACCTGTGAGTGGCTCGGAGCGTCCGCCCAGACTGTCAGCCCCAGGACTCCGCTCAGCCCACCCACTGCGGCCGCCGGGAGGGAGGGAGCGAGGAAGGGGGTGGAAGAGGACGGCGCGGCGCCTGGGGCGGGAGGGCAGGCTGTGGGCGCCGGGCGGCCGCCGGAGGGAACGGCCACCTGCGGCTGCCCCGGGCGCACCTCACCCTGCGCTGCCC